TAGTTTCAATAAATACAGAAAAAATATGTGGTAAGTCAGTATTGTTGGAGGAGGTCATCAAAACTTGATGTCTAGTTGAGCCTTGAGTTCCAGACAACTGGAGGCCCCCCATGTCTCCCCTGTTCCTAGAATGTTTATTCCACTTGCCTTCTCTGTTCCCAGCAGCAGCCCCAAAAATATATCCGTGAGATAGAAACATGCTATTGAGGCTATCTGGACTGGGTACACGACTGAACAGTTAAAGCCTTTTATAAACTTTTAAGATTCTGGCACAGAGATCTACTCATCTTGCAGCTGCCCAAGACAATCCTCATGACAGCCCTTGTCTATGAAACGTGCTATCCCTCAATCTGAAGTGGCCTGCCCCTTCCTTCTGTCTCTACCTACCCTCTGTGTACAGGCGGCTAGTTTCAGATAACACTTGTGAACCTCCTTAGGGAGTTACAAACCAGCACTCATTTTAGAGAGAATATCTTTACCGTTAAAGGATACAGGGTTATCTACCTAAAACATTTACCAAATGATATATTTTTAAAAATTTTTTTTTATTTATTTATGATAGTTACAGAGAGAGAGAGAGAGAGAGAGGCGCAGAGACACAGGCAGAGGGAGAAGCAGGCTCCATTCACCGGGAGCCCGATGTGGGATTCGATCCCGGGTCTCCAGGATCGCGCCCTGGGCCAAAGGCAGGCGCCAAACCGCTGCGCCACCCAGGGATCCCCAAATGATATATTTTTAAAGGTAAAAAGCACTTTCTTTAGAAATGGGAATGAGGTAAGTGAACCCTCAATCACTATTTTCTAGTCAACTGCTGGTTTTTTTTTTTTTTTTTTGAGGTCCTGGACAGCATCGTAAAGCAAGAAAAAAAAATTCAGAATACAAGGACTGGAAAGGTAGAAACAAAAGCAACACTATTAGCAGATAATCTATCTCTTTTATATGGAAATTTCAAAGAACCTATAGATAAATGACTGAGGACTAAGGGAATTTGATTACTGTAAAAACAGACACCCAAAATAAATCCAAAGTTATATAATTTTAAGAAAAAAAATACAATCGTTTTAAACAGCTTAACAATAACCCACAGCCCTCGGACCAACTAAGAAAAAAATACAATCGTTTTAAAACATATAAAGTATTTTGGAACAATTCTACAAAAGATGTTTGAGACTGTTATGGATAAATCTCTAAAGCTTTATTAATTCAACATAATTTCTATCAAAATACACTATTTTGTGTGTATGGTGACAAGCTCCTTTTACAGTTTTTATGGAGCAAAGGGTTATGAAACTAAGACCTAACTGAATAATAAATGTGGGAGACTTTCCCTACTAATTGAAAGGTAAGGTAACTAAGACCAAGTGAAAATAGTGTGTGGAGAGAGAACCAATAGACTAGAGCAAATACTAGAATCCGTACCAAACATGTGGAAATTCGTTAAGAGACAGATGAAAACTTAAATATGAAAGAAAAATTGGAAATTTTAAAAAACAGGGGTGCCTGGGTGGCTTAGTCTGTTAAGTGTGTGCCTTCAGCTCAGGTCATGACCCCCAAGTCCTGGGATGGAGCCCTGAGTTGTGCTCCCTGCTCTGCAGGGAGTCTCCTTCTCTCTCTGCTTGTGTGCTCACTTTCTCTCTCAAATAAATAAATAAAACCTTCAAAAAAAAATCATAAAAAGACAATCCATGAACCTGTCTTTATGACTTAGTAGAGAAAATTTTTTTACAAACATAAATAAAGGAAAACACTGATAATTCAACTACATTAACTAGGTAATTAAAAAATATACATTTTATCTCTCTAGATAGTACATGTATTTCATATTTTTTACCTAATATTTAAACCAAATAAAAGTTGTCTGCTTTGCCTATTGGCTTACATTACACACACACACACACACACACACACATTTTTAAAGATTTCATTTATTTATTCATGAGAGACACAGAGAAAGAAGCGGAGACATAGGCAAAGAGAAAAGCAGGCTCCTTGCAGGGAGCCTGATGTGGGACTTGATCCTGAGACTACGGGATCACAGAATCACGACCTGAGCCAAAAGCAGACACTCAACCACGGAGTCATCCAGGTGCCCTGGCTTACATTATACTTGCTGCACAATATATAAAAGTAAACATATAGGATGAAGAATAAATGAGGTATTTTATTAGAATATTAGGATGCTGCACTGCAGTTAATTTGGAGCAGACATTTCATTTGCTGTAAGCTGCTGAGAAACAGAGCAACATTCATACACCTGTCTTTCTGCTTCAGATGCATAAAAGAAAAAAACAATTCCAAAGCAAACTTGTATCAAAAAAGACTACATCGTGATGAGTTTTATTATTCAGATGGCCTCGTATTAGTCATATTTTCTCCTGAGTCATCAAACACAGAAAAAAGTAATTATCACTAATCTAAAATGTAATGCAATTTTATGCTGCATGAAAATTTTTGCTCATCACTGCATCCCCAAGAGCCCAGGCTAGTACCCTGCACACAGTGGATGCTTAATAAATAGGTTTTAATAACTGAACATAGAGCTACTCCAAAGGAAAAATATACTTATTTGTCTTCTCAGAAGAAGTGATTTTAAAAAGTATAACGTAGGGATGTCTGGCTGGCTCCGTCAGTATAGTACACAACCACTGACCTTGGAGTCGTGAGTTTGAGCCCGGAATTGGGTGTGGAGTCTATTTTAAATAAATAAAATATTTTTTTAAAGTATAAGGTAGAAAAGGATCAGTGGTTAAACAAGTAAGTATTTATATACCTGGATAAAGTCACTTTTTTGTTTCAGAAAAGGGAAATGATATTTCACACAGTGATGTCAGTAATTCAGTAATCAATTTATATAGTAAGTTAATATTAGGAGAAAATGTATAAATAAGGTTACCTATTTTAATTCTTCCTAAATTTTCATTTGTTGACTCCTAAGCCAATATATAAGTTCTAGTGAGCCAAAAGAAAGTCAAATTATTCATTTACAATAACAATAATAAAACCAAAGAAAAAAAGCCACACCTAGAATTTTGATTATCGTACATTAACAATTTGATTAAAACTAATGAATTTTAATAATTAATCTTTAAAAATGAAAAACAAAAGACCTAGAAAAGTGCTCTATTACTACATGTTCCACAACACAAGACACAGGAAGTCATTTTTTTTAAAGTCAATTTTTAAATAACATATTCACTTAGTGTACTATAACACTGATGCAATTACAGGTTTCTCTCAAAATGTTTTTAGCTGTGTAAATCTCAAAATTTTTTCTATTAGCAATAATTGCACCTTGGATAAACTTCATTGGCTACAATACTGCCACTGTGCAAAGCTAAAAAAATTTTTCTACCACTACATTTGTCTCACCTAACGCGTAGTCCTAGAAAGTGACAGCCTTTTCCATAACTGTACCTTCGAAACTTTGCTAAAAGGAAGGACTTTTCCAATTCAGTTTCGTCTGCTGCTATACGAAGGCTTCTACCACTGCAGCATAAATACTGACTTTCTAAGACACAAACATGTCCTTCCGGTACGTACTTATAAGGAAAGAGTATTAGAAAATTCTTACCAGAAAGATCCACCACTGCCTCATGACTGGAAACAGCTCCTTTCTCAATAAAAAGATCTCGAAAATATTCACTATTAGCGGACAAAACAGATTTATGAGCTTTGTACTCTTCTCCCTCAATTAACAAAGTAACATCACAGAACTGGTTGGAGAGTCTCTGTTCATTGAGCTGTTTTAAGACAGCCTGACAGTGTTTTGGAGAAGAACGTTTTACCACTCCTTTGGTGTCAACCTATCAAAATAAGTTTAAGATCAAGAGTTTTATTACATATCATTTGTATTTCTACCTTTAACAGAATTTAAAACATGATACGTTATTCACTTTTAAAGACACCACTAATTAATATGAAGAAATAGCCATATATTCTTTATCGTCTATATATTTAAATAAAAAGCTAGGTCATTCTATTTTCTGCCGTTTATTCTACTTAACCCAATGAAAAACCTGCATCTCACTTCTTGCTGTTTCTTCTTACTAGTCAGAAATCTGATGATGTATGAAAGTAATGTAGGTAAAATAAAAACAAAGGCCTAGACAGTTTAATTGGACCTTGTTTCACAACCTAGAGACTGCTTCCAGAAATGTATTCTGTACTGTACCAATATACCATTTAGAAAGATAGGACGAATAATTAACAACAAATCAAGTAACATTCTGAAGAGAAGAAACAACAGGAATATTTGTGATTAATGAAAGCGTTTTAGTATACTTTTAGTATATGTAACAACAAAGTTCATTAACTGAGATGCAGACTTACTTAAATTTTTAATGTCAGTGCCAATGGGCAAGCAGTTCCCGTACTTTAAGAAAAAATTCACTAAGACTACAAATACTAATATACCAGTTACAGATTTTTTTTTTTTTTTTTCCCAGTTACAGATGTTAAAGCTCAATGGAAGTTCCACTTACAAATACAAGTTCATGCTTGGATACGGGCTTCTTTTTTGCAGGCTTGGAAGCTGTAGTTGGAGGTGAAGTAAAATTGCTCAGATCATCTTCTGATTCATTACTTTCCTCTCCAGATTCAAGGTCTAGTCCCAATTCTTCTAACATTTCTGAAGTATCTGATATTGGACGGGAGCGATCTAGTTTCTCCTGGCATTTGCTACACTGTTTAATGTAATCTTTCACTTGCTTTAATATACCTACAATAAAAATAAAAATTAACACGTCAAATTTAATGCTGCTTTCATTTGAAAACTCAAAATTTACTGTTTGTTAATCTATGTACACTGATGTATGTTTGAATGCATATGTCCAGACACACAAATGCCCCATAACGTAAAAGTGGTTTCTTTAGAATGTACATTTTTTTCATAGATATAAGGTTATAAATTTTTTTTTAAGATTTTATTTATTTATTCATGAGAGACACACACACAGAGAGGCAGAGACCCAGGCAGAGGAAGAACCAGGCTCCCTGCAAGGAGCCCAACGTGGGACTCAATCCCGGAACTCCAGGATCACACCCTGGGCCAAAGGCAGGCCCTAAACCACTGAGCCACCCAGAGATCCCCACTGATGGTTTATTTCCATGCTTATTTTTGTTTATTCCTAGTTATTCACTTCCCCACCATGTAAGATGATTATATAGCAGGGCCTTTTTCTGTGTGAGCTCCAACTCATTCATGCTATAGGAAATTATGAAAATGACAATATTACCTTCATAAACATGGTTACCTCTCCACCTTACTAACCTCAGGCCGTGCAATTTGCTTTGGTCAACAGAATATAAATAAATATAATGTGTGCCATGTCTCAGAAACTTTAAGAGGCATGGTTTCCCACTGGTGCTCAGATGGCATGTTCCAGATGGATGCCATCCTTTAGAGCCTGAATTGCAGATGAAAAAAGACAAGTGGAGTCAACAGCAACCTGAACTACAACCACAACTTGTAATGAGTGTGTAAAATAAATCTCATTTTTGAAAGCCATGAGATTTTAGGGTTGTATAAAACACCACCATACACAATATAACTTTCATTACATCATTATACTCACAAAACCCTATTCTGAATTTCAACTTCTAGCTCAGCATGTTGGGGTAGGTGTACGGAGCAGGGAGGAAACACTTCACACACACACACACACACACACACACACACGCACATGATCCTTATAAGGTAAGATCAATTATTTCCATCCTACAAATGAGGAGAATGAAGCCCTAAAAAGCAAAAAATTTGTCCAAAGTTGCATTTAGTAAATTACGTAACTGGGCCTCCAGAAGCCATGTGATTTTCAGTATATTATGCTAACTTAGGAACACATCTCTCCATCACTATGACAAAATTCTCCCCTTAAAATCCCCAAGTAAAATGTAAATGAAAGGCTCATTAATAAGCTAAAATGATATAGAGATAGTGAATTACTGAGAAGAATTTCAAGATTTCAAATTATACCACAGTTCCTTGAACTTTCAACCTTCAGGTAATATTCAAGCAATACTTCTCAACTGTATTGTCCCATACTCACTAAAAAAAAGTATACAGTGGACTAACAAACTCAGAAAAGTATACTTTCATTTTACAAACACGTAATAGATATTATCATACTCAAAGCCCTGAGAGTTCTACAGTGTTTAACAAGATTTTGTCAAATTTATTTGTTCATAGGCCCCCATTCCCCAATCGAGAACTTAGGAAATAATGGGTTAGGATTAAATAAAAGAGGTATTTACAGGGACACCTGCGTGGCTCAGCAGTTTAGCGCCTGCCTTCTGCCCAGGCATGATCCCATAGTCCCAGGATCTGAGTCCCACAGTGGGCTCCCTGCGTGGAGCCTCCTTCTCCCTCTGCTTGTGTCTCTGCCTGTCTCTCTCATGAATACGTAATAAAAATCACATAAAAAAAAAAAGACAATTACACGTGCATATTTAGAGAATATATATTTTAATGTCTGAAAATGCTAAAGTCAATAAAAAGTCTGTATCTGTAGGAGGTATATAGTTAGCATATTAAAAAAATGATGAAAAGGCTGAAGAAATATTTAATTTTTACATACAATTAAGAGTAAATGGAGAGGAGCCTGACTGGTTCAGTCGGTAGAGCATGTGACTCTTGATCTCAGAGCTGTGGACTCAAACCCCACATTGGGTGTAGAGCTTACTTAAAATAAAAGGAAAAACATGTTCATTCTATTTGTTTAAAAAAATAAGAAGAGTAAAAGGATTGAAGTGGTGAAAAATTTCTGAAGATGAACAGTGATAGTTGCACAACGTGAATGTACTTAATGCCACTGAACTGTACACTTAAAATGGCTAAAATGATAAATTTTGTGTTATATTTTACAATAGAAAAAAGTAAATGAGTACAAACTTCCAATTATAAATAAGTCATGGGGATGAAAGTATAGCATAGGGGATAACATGGTAATAACTTTCTGTGGTGATATACAGTCCCTAAACTTATCATGGTGAGCATTTTATAATGTATATAATTGTTGAATCCCTATGTTGTACGCCTGAAATTAATGATACCGTATGTCTACTATATTTCGATAAAAAGTAAATATGTGTATGACTAGGAAACACATAAATGAACACATATTTTAAGATTTATTATTTGAGGGCAGCCCGGGTGGCTCAGTGGTTTAGCGTGGCCCTCAGCCTGGGGTGCAATCCTAGAGACCCAGGATCGAGTCCCACGTCGGGCTCCCTGCATGGAGCCTGCTTCTCCCTCTGCCTGTGTGTCTCTGCCTCTCTCTGTCTTTCATGAATGGATGAATAAAATCTTTAAAAAAAAAAAAGATTTTATTTGAGAGAGAGAGAGAGAGAGAGAGAGAGAGAGAGAAAGAGTGCATGCAGGGCATAGGGCTAAGGTGGAGGGAGAGGGACAAGCAGACTCAGCGTTGAGCAAAAAGCCTGATGCAGGGCTCGATCCACTACCCTAAGATTGTGACCTGAGCTGAAATCAAGAGCTGGACACTCAACCAACTCAGCACCCAGGCACTCCAAGAAAACCACACACACACACACACACACACACACACACACACACACACACGATTTTATTCATTTGAGAGAGAGAGAGAGCACAAGCAGGGGGGAGAGGTAGAAGCAGGCTCCTGACGAGAGGCTCCATTTCAAGACTCAGACCATGACCTGAGCCAAAGGCAGGCACTTAACTGAGCCACCCAGGTGCCCCAAGAATATATATTTCTAGGTAAAAAACACACTTAGTGGGCAGCCCGGGTGGCTCAGTGGTTTAGCACCAACTTCAGCCCAGGGTGTGATCCTGGAGACCCAGGATCGAGTCCCACAGCAGGCTCCCTGCATGGAACCTCCTTCTCTCTCTGCATCTCTCATAAATAAATAAAATATTTTTAAAAAACCACACACACACACTTAGAAAATGTAGAAATTTCCATGTTCATAGTAAAGAAGGCATCATTTTTTCCTAATTTTGGCTGTATTTCCAAACATTCTAGGATTCTACACAGTTCACTATATTCTGCATAAAGCAAAAGTCTGATTACACTATAAACTGGTTAAGTTCAAATGGTATTACAAAAACTACATAGGAAGCATTTGAAAAGGATGCAAATAAAACCCGCAGGAAAAAATTATTATTGTATGATAGTCGCTAAATTGTCTCAAAAGTCACCTGATATGTTTTAAGAACTTTCATCTGAGTATTAGCGTTTTGATGGGATCATCTTAAATCTAGCTTTACAGATTCAGAAGCTTGACATCTTTAGTTGATCCAGAATTGATTAAGCTGAAGACTGACTCAAGTTAACCACAGAAAAGGCATCAGTGTGTAAACATAGTTCATTTTACACTACCGCAAGGGGTTGAACCACTTATGCAGTATAATCTGAATCCACTAACTAGCTTTGTGATCACAGCCAAGTTGCCAAACCTATCTATGCCTACGCGCTAATTGTAAGGGGTAACAGTATGGTGTTGTTGTGATAATATTTATAAAGCTCTTTGAAAAGTGTATGACACACGGTCACTACATAAGTGTTTTTTTTTTTAAATTTAAAGATTTTATTTATTTATTCATATGAGAGAGAGAGAGAGAGAGAGAGAGAGAGAGAGAGAGAGAAAGGCAGAGACACAGGCAGAGGGAGAAGCAGGCTCCATGCAGGGAGCATGATGTGGGATTCGATTCCCAGACCCCGGGATCACGCTCTCAGCTGAAGGCAGATGTTCAACCACTGAGCCACCCAGGCGTCCCCATAGGTGTTTGTTAAATACTGTAACATTCACTCATCAACCTCTCTGGTACTGAAAAAAGACAAAAACAAAAACTCTACATAAAACACCAAGTTACCATTAAAAGATTCTTCACTGAGCATAGAATGAAAACAAAGATAGACAAAAGACTTAAGTGGGTAGTCTTCTAATAAAACAACTGGGGAATCCCCTGGGTGGCTCAGAGGTTTAGCGCCACCTTCGGCCCAGGGTGTGATCCTGGAGACCCGGGATCGAGTCCCAAACTGGGCTCCGCTCCGTGTGGGGACTGCTTCTCCCTCTGCCTGTGTCTCTGCCTGTGTGTGTGTGTGTGTGTGTGTGTGTCTTTCATGAATAAATAAATAAAATCTTTTAAAAAAATAATAAAACAACTGAAGGAACAGTTTCTTACACTAGATCAAGGTTTCTTAACTTCAGTAGTGTTGATATTTTGGGCCAGATGACTCTTGTTGGAGTGGGGAGGGGCGCAAACAGCTGTCCTGTCTATTCTTTTTTTTTTAATTTTTTTAATTTTTTATTTATTTATGATAGAGAGAGAGAAAGAGAGAGAGGCAGAGACATAGGCAGAGGGAGAAGCAGGCTCCATGCACCGGAAGCCCGATGTCGGATTCGATCCCGGGTCTCCAGGATGGTGCCCTGGGCCAAAGGCAGGCGCCAAACCGCTGCGCCACCCAGGGATCCCTGTCCTGTCTATTCTTTTTTTTTTTTTTTTTTTTTAATTTTTATTTATTTATGATAGTCACAGAGAGAGTGAGAGAGGCAGAGACACAGGCAGAGGGAGAAGCAGGCTCCATGCACCGGGAGCCCGACGTGGGATTCGATCCCGGGTCTCCAGGATCGTGCCCTGGGCCAAAGGCAGGCGCCAAACCGCTGCGCCACCCAGGGATCCCTGTCCTGTCTATTCTTATGTAGAATGTTTAGGGGCATTCCTGACCTCTACCCAACTAGATGTCAATAGCAACACCTCAACCACCACCAGTTCTGACAACCAAAATTGTCTCCAGACACAGCTCGACATCCCCTGGGAGGCAAAACCGTCCCTGGGTGAGAACCAATAGTTTAGAGATCTATTTGCCAAACTGAACAATTTGCTCCTGTCAGCTGTTCAAGATCTTCCTTCCCTGTCAGTTTCGGATACAACAACCACACCAGGTTCAGGGGCTCCCATTTCTAGTTCAGGGGCTCCCATTTCTAGTTCTTCCTTGGTCTGTTTTGTTTTCTTCAAAGAGGTTACAAGTGGCTGGTTACAGCTATTTACAGACCTAGTTCTTAGTGGGTTTCCTAGAGATTACATCTTCCTCTTCTACACTAAATAACAGTGGCATCAATTAACCCCATAGTCCATACAAAAATAAATCAGTACTTAGGGTAGAACTTCTGCAGGCAGCTTATTTAACCTATTACTTTTTTTTTTTTTTTTTTTTTTTTTTGCTAATTTAATCTTTGTTTCCCCTCCTAATTTTATCTTCACACCTTGGAAGCATTTCACTGTAGGTCCTCATGCATCAGCATCTGAGGCAGGGGAGATAATTATTTTCAAACTCCAGCATATAATTCAACAGGATAAAATAAGAGGATGTGGGGGGATGAGAATATTTATTAACATTTTACATTCTGAAATGAAATATGCTATATGTAAACATTAGGTACTGAGCCAGAGTTCAACTCTGCTCAAAGGAGAGAAACTGCTACAAACTTGCCTGAGCACTAGAATATAACTTATGGTGGCAGCATTCCAAAAAAGCAGAATAAGAATCACAATAAACTGTCCTTGATATAACTTCTATTGGTCTGACTCTGGAACAGTTTTTCTTTCTTTTTTTTTTTGGCACCTATAGTGATCAAATCTTATTAGCTTTCAGGTAAACAGTCTACAATGGTTTTGGAGTATGTATATCTTGAGTAAAAGCAATTCAACTGTTAATGTAATAAGTATCAAAATGAATAGCCACTTTATTTTTTTAAATGAACAGCTAATAATTAGAGGCAAACTTCTCTGATGCTTACTATGAATTATTACTTTAAGTAAGCTTTACACCCAAAGTGGGGCTTGAACCCACGACTCCGAGATCAAGAATCACATGCTCTATGGCCTGAGCTAGCTAGGTGCCCCCAAATTCTTATTTTAAGAGAAAATATTAAAATATTAAAAGTAATGAGCTCATCAAATGTCAAATGAACATTACACGTCAACAAAATAGCATTTTACAAAAAATTACTATTTCCCAAAACAAAACAAGGCAAAAAGTGAAAAAAAGGGGTACTACTTCACATTTCTGAAAATCTTTTAAACGTATGGCTTAAGAAAATCATATACGCCTCTGCCTTCAATCATTTGCCGTACGTCATATGTCACAGCCTCTGGAAGACACGAGTGTATACTTGGGAGACAAGGAGCAGAAAAGGCAAATAATGTCTTGGAATTATCATAAAAATAATCGTGACTTTGTAGATCCTCTGAAAGATCTCAGGGCCTCCCTTGTCAGGAGTTTAGTACCATAAGCATGGCACTTCAAGAACCAGCTGTTCTAGTTGTTTAAGGGCTTTTAAGTTTTACAAATGTATAAAAATCACAAACTTATTCTTCAGTTAAACATACACATGGTCTCAGGTTTTTTTGGACTAAGACACTGCACACCAAAAAACAGAGACCCTCCCCCACAACTGCATTCCTAACATTCACAGACAACAAATTCAGGGAAGGGAAATCCTTAACACTAAACCCTTGCAGCACCATATGAGTGGTTAAGACGGTGAAAGTACAAAGATCATCTGTGTGATCCCCAGCATATTTAACTTTCTGATGCTTTTAGTTTTCTCATCTGTAAAACAGGTAGGTTTCCACCTTACAAGGATTTTTATCACGATTAAATGAATGAAAAATTAAGAGCTCAGAACTCTGCCTGCGTGTAAAATTCTGATGTTACTTTTTTTAAGTTTTATTTATTCATGAGAGACACAGAAACACCGGCAGAGGGAGAAGCAGGCTGCTCACAGGGAGCCCGATGTGGGACTCGATCCTGGATCCCGGGATCACGCCCTGAGCCAAAGGCAGAAGCTCAACCGCGGAACCACCCGGGCATCCCTCTGACTGTCATGTCCCTATGACATGTCATAAGGTAGGTAGGTAGGTAGGTAGGTAGGTAGTAACCTCTATGCCGGACGTGGGGCTGGAACTCAGCGCCCGGAGATGGAGAGCCCCAGGCTCCTCGGACTCCGGAGGGAGTCAGGGCACCCAACAGGTAGGTGCTAAGGTCTTAAATCCGAAACACTTGCTCAAGGAAACAGGGTCTGAGCCAATCCGTCCTAACAAAACGCAGCAACTACAGTTTTTACTCCTCACACTTCAGTCGCTTTAGAAGAATTCAATCCCAGTATCGCCTAAAATAGAAAGCAGATTGCGGGCGGAAGGTAGGAGTTGAAAAAGCATCAAAGAAGACAAGAGCGCTCGACGGTTTTTGAACACACGGAAGATCTCTCCAAGGAACGAGAGGAAGGACCACGGGTCAGCGCGACCAGGTCCGTCCTCGCCCGCCGGGAAGGAAGCGAGACCCCTCGCGTGCCCCCACCACACCTCGGCAGCACCTGCGGGACCTCGAGTCCGGCCCAACGGTTTCCACGGCAACCGGCGCGGGCGCGCGGGGGCGGCGAGGAAGGCCAAGGGCCCGCTCTCGCTCGCCACCGGCCCGCAGGGGTCGGGAAGCCAGGGCCGTGCGTCCGTCCGTCCGTCCGTGCATCCGTCCGTCCGCCCGCCCGCCCGCGGACAACCGCATCTGTCTGTCCGGGTACTCGCGGTGCCTCGCCGCTTCCACCGCGCTCCTCACGGCACCGCCAGGGAAGCGCAGCACACTCGTTCGCAGCGAGGAGGGTCCGCGGTCGTCCACACCCACCTCCCGCCCATCGCCAGGCCGGAGGCGGCGGCCCCCCGCGGACTCGGGCCCGCACTCGCCCGCCGTCCCCGCCCCCCGCCCCCCCCCCGCCCCGCGCAGCCGCAGGAGGCGGGCCCGCCGCGGCCCGCACGCCCCGGCCCCGCCCGGCCGCTGGCCCGGCCCCCGGGGAAGCCCCCTTCGCCCCACCCCGGGCCAGGGCCCGCCCCCAGCGTCCCCGGCCTCCTTCCTGTGGGAAGTGCGGCTCCGTTCGCGTCCCCCACCCTCTCGGCTCCGCCTGGCAGCCGCTCCGCCGCCGGGCGCAGGTCGGGCCGGGCGCAGGTCGGGCCGGGCGGGGGCCGCGCGGGGGCCGGGCGGGGGCCGCGCGGGACCCCCCGGCCTCGGCCGTGCGCACGCAGGGCCGCCTCCGCCTGCGGGCCTCGCCCGGGCAGCTAGCGGCCGCCCGCCGCCCGCCGCCCGCCGCCCGCCGCCCGCGAGCCCTACCTCGCCACCAGTAAGTCTTGGACAAGTCGTGCCAGGTCTGGTGCCGGGTGTGGTGAGTGCCGCCCGGGCCCAGGTGCGCCGCCTCGATGAGCCCCCGGCGCCGCTCCGGCTGCAGCACCACCTCCAGCTCCGCGAAGGTCTTGCGGTGCCGCTGCCGCCGCTGGTAGTACAGAGTCCCGCCGCGCACCACGTAGCAGGCGGCCGCCTTGCGGATTTTGCGCTTGACATTGCCCTCGGTGCCCGGCGCGTACGGCTCACGCTCGTTTGTCAGGTAGCGAAGAATGGCCCGGTAGCTTTCCTCGCTTGACATCGCCGACGGCGGCGGCCCGAGGGCGCCCGTCAGTGGCGGGGGAGGGAGACAGCGCACTGGCCCCGGGCGGATGCGGCGGCGGCGGCGGCGGCGGCGGCGGCGGGAGGAACGGCTGGGTCTGCGGTGAGCGCTCCTCGACGGCGCCCGCGGCGCGAAGGGAGATCGGACGAGTCGGTAACCAGGGGGAACTGCACTTCTCCAGCGCGCGGGATCCGCTGGCGACTGACAAAATGGCTGCTGCACCACCGGAAGTGACGTGATCAAGGGCAGTGGGTGAGGGGACTGAGTCCTGATTGGAGCGCGCTGGCTTTCTGGCTTGATGAAGCCGGCCGGGTGACGTCAGGACTGCGGGCGGACATTTTGGAAGCGGGTAGCCCTCTGCTGGGAGGGCGAAGTCGCTTCGAGGAGACATCTTAAGTCCTGGCAGTTTCCCTTTTTTAGTTTTCCCTTCCTTGCCTTGCTCGGAGCACGTGCGGGAGGCGGTGGGCTGCTGTTACCGTGCCCGAGGTACACCCAGATGCGCAGGAGTCTGTTTTCCACCCGCCTACCTTATGAGACCACCCCCTAGTCCAACATAGGAGCATCAGATTTTTGAGGCTCCTACTAAAATGTCAGCCTCCGGACGCAGGATCAAAAGCCCCATTCACATGTAAATATAATCTCCAGTTAAAACATTTAAAATCTAAGTCCCTCAATGATAGGACTTAACTTCTAAACTTGAACTGTTGGCTCCAAATCGCCCACGGAATAGTCGGGAGTTTTCTGGAATGATCGTCGTGCATAGGGGTGTTTTCTGTACATGAAGGTAATCACGTTGGCAGTGAGGGGGAGTAGCCGGCACTCTTACAGCTTAGTTTGCACGTTATTTTTACATAAACTAAGCGGGGGAGAGGGATTTTCTATTTTACACCAATGCACAATAAAGGCCGAGGCGACTTGAACTGCGTCTTCCGGGGTGCACTGTGTGCCCTAATTCACATTTTGAGCGGGGAGCCCAGCGCGGTGGCCCGTCACCTTCCGTGGGTTTAAATTGCCGCGCAGACGAGACCACAGACTTGGGACATCCTACTTGACAACGGGCCAGGCCCGGGCAGTGCTTTGCTGCTGCGCGAGAACTCCGGGGCCAACTGCTCCTCCGCAGCCTGGTCGCGGTCGCTGGGTGAGGCCCTTTGACCTTACAAACACAGGTTAGGGGCTGACAACCGGTGAACACACTGGGCTCAAAAAACAGGATGGCACTGACTCTGTGGTACTTGCGGGTGGGGGCTGCAGGAGTTAGCAGATGGCCTAGATACTGGAGGCAGCATCCTGGAGTACGTGAGCTCCCAGGGGTGGGGGAAAGAGAAACCACCAGACCTGGGACTTATTTGGGGTCACTCAATTCAGACAAACAGCTGGGGGAGAAGCAATTAGAAGATGGAGATGCACTCCTCCCCTCCTGGGAGTGGGGCACCCAAAGCCAGGTCAGCCCTCTGAGAACTGTTTGGGTTAGCACCATCACTTCAACTGGGAGGTCAACTCCCTTTAAATTTAAAAAATAGATTTAAATAAAAACCTAAGTCGTGGAGGTGGAGAAGAAAAACTGACCCTACCCCCAGCTCAGTTGCTGCCAAAACCACCTGTGAAAGCATGAAGCCCAGTGTACTTGCATTCTCCTCTGTGCCAATGTGGAGAAAAGGTTTAACAGGTGGTCTAATTGGTCTCAAAGTTTAACTTGCCATCCTCCTAAAACACATACTGTTTATTTCTAGCTCCTCCGGGTAAGCAGGCTACCCAGGAATCAAGGGTAATCAGAATCAGCAGCTTAACTTCATTAAGACGTAGAAGCCAGAAAAGCACTTATTTAAAGTATCTGCCTTTAGCTCAGGTCATCCTGGGGTGCTGTAATGGAGCCCCACATCCAACTCCCTGCTGTGGGGCAAACAGGGGCAAGGCTGGAGTCTGGTTGTTCCTCTCCCCTGCTTGTGCTCTAGCTCACTCAAAATCTTTAAAAAAAAAAAAAAAATCAAAGGACATTTTTTGTGTCCAAAAATTTAGAAATCTCTAGCACTGTATTCAAGATGGGTATTTTGATTGGTTAAGCTTTCCTTATCCATAACTAATCTTATTTTCCTTGTAATTTCGTAAAGAAAACATTGCCACAATAAAAATGAAGATTTCTTCCACCAACCAAAATCTTAGATGTTTCTAAGAGCCAGTGTATCTTGCATTTTTTTAAAAATTGATTTTACACCTATTTTTAGTCTTCAAGTCTCCCAAAAGGACTATTTATTCCCAACACCTAGCACAATACCTGAATTTAACATTCCTTTGACAGAACAATCATTAGTTCCATAACTTGGATAGAATGTAGGTATGTGGAGGGGGTGGGGGTAGGGGCGTGATGTGTGATTTTTACCTTGCCCAAGTATTCTATGTGCAAAAACATTTATCTCAGATGAGGATATGGCTTGTTCACGGTTGTAGTCTTCTCACTTGGAAGTGTGATACTTAAGATGATCTACTTGCTACAGAAGTGCAAGCCTATTCTTAATTCCAGCTTATTAACAAACTACCTTGGAAATTGGTAAGCACGGTCTACTCCTGTGCTAGCGAAGTTGTACTCTTCATTTAAACTTACTTTCTGGAAGCAAGAGCAGATTAATAGTACAGTTAAAGTTTTAAGCACTTTTACTCAGCTACCAAGTAATGGTAATAGGTGAAGTACCAGCGAACAAAAGGCAAGCCCACTACAAAGTAAATTTTAGTCCCGCTGTTTACCGTAGTATAGGCCCAATATGTTGTTTTGAGAGTAAAAAGACACCAGGATCTAGTTAGAGTCAGATGTTTATTTAAAAATCTGATCCACTAAAACTTAGCGTTTTCCACCAACTCGGGGTGCGGAAACCTTCACAGGCTTCACAATCTTTTGCTTAGGTGCAGCCTTTGTGGGAGCCTGTAAAACAACATGTTAAGTGACATTATTATTATTCCAATGCAAGTTTTAAAATCACCTCTTCATATCGATTCCTTATGTATTCCAAGTTTCTTTCCTTATTAATTACATTCCTAATATTCTTAAGACCTACCCTCCCCCTAAAAAAGTATAGTCTACTTCTATAGATGTAAATGAAACACAAGGATACGGTCACAGAATGGAAGGGTTATATGAGGTGACACAAAACGCAGTGTGGGACCCTGAATTGTGTCCTTAGAACAGAAAAAATTAACCAAGACCAATGGCTTTGAAATTTTACTATGGTTTTCTAAATAGATTAACATTGAAAAAAGCTGGGAAAATTCTATACTAAAGCCACCTTTATTTTTCCCTTCTCCAACTTTTGTTTGGCAGACTCATTTGGCTCTGGTAGAGGGACCTCTGAAATCACTCACCCCCAAACCAGTTACGAACATCATTTTCATTGGAGCTTTGCATTAAATTCTTTTTTAAAAAAAATTCACTTACTCATGAGACATAGAGAGGCAGAGCCACAGGAAGAGCGAGAAGCAGGCTCCCTATAGGGAGCCCAATGTGGGATTCAGACCCTGGGATCAGGCCCTGCACTAAATTCCTTAAAAACATGGAACTTGGACAGCCCAGGTAGCTCAGTGGTTTAGCGCTGCCTTCAGCCCAGGGCCTGATCCCGGAGACCTGGGACTCCATCCCAGGTCAGGCTCCCTGCGTGAAGCCTGCTTCTCCCTCTGATTGTGTCCCTGCCTCTCTCTCTCTCATGAATAAATAAATAAAATCTTAAAAAAAAAAAAAAAAAAAAAAAAAACATGGAACTTTTTGGAGGCCTGGGTGGCTCAGCAGTTGAGCCTCTGCCTTCAGCTCAGGGAGTGATCCTGGAGTCTTGCATCAGGCTCCCTGCAGGGAGCATGCTTCTCTCCCTCTGCCTCTCTCTGTCTTTCACAAATAAATAAATAAAATCTTTAAAAACAAAAACTTTTGATCTTTCATTAACCACAATTTAGATTTAAAATAAATCTTCCCGTTATTATTTATTAGGTAATCTCTATACCCAATGTGGGGGTTTAACTCACAACCCTGAATCAAGAGGTGCATGCT